TAGGCATGATTAATAACACAAAGCAAATGAAGTAAACACACATGTGAATGGTTAATGATTGGTTTCCGGATAGATAGATATTACCCAACACGGGGGTGATGATTTCCTTTTAGTTTCTTCATTTCTAAGTTTTATCTCTACCTTGTGATTGCTTTCATAAAGGAAAATTGAAGAAACCTCGTGCAAAATGTTCGATAATTCGACGTTAAAATGGAAACTAATTTTTAATCTAATTAAAATTAGGGTAAATTCAACTTTCCATTTCAGCTTTGTATCGTTTTACCTGCTTCTACTTTGAATCGTATCGTATCGCTATATTCCTTGGGTCTTGAAATCGCTTCAATTAAAAGCTTCCCTCAAACTTTTGTCGTCTTATCACTTGCGCATTCAAATGCCTCATTCTCACCCTTAGCTGAACTAGAAAATGTTATTATTGTCCTTAAACTCCATCACCACGACACATTCTCTCGAAAAATTTAGTCGATCATATTAGGTGATTGTATCAGTGATCCATCCATACATTAATCTTTCTTCTTACAAATTTAGATAGAACAACAAATTATAATTGAAAAGGAGGATAGTTACTAGTTTTTCAATTCCCCTCATGGTATCTCGAACTTATGATCAAATAGTCATAGGTGCAAGGTGCTTACCAACAGGCTACTTGTCTTTGACAAAGATTTTAGTTAACCACTAACATTGTCCATGTAGATTTAAACAAAATAATAAGCTGGAGGACCTATATTCGGCTGACCATATTCAGTCAACCTACCTAATTCATCATTCATAAATTTTGAGTTGGGAATAAGTTCAAAAAAAAATGGAGGTAGATCGATGAAGTAAGGAGAGCGCGACGTATAGACATCAATCATCCTTTCAAACAAGTGAAAACCTATCTGGGAATAACTATCTATATTATATTTTAGATAATTAATCCATCAAACTAAATTAAATGAACAGCTCGTTACATTACATATAACAATATACTTACATATATTGTATATTTTTAATTTTAATTTGTAGAGAGAGAGCATAGTCAGTCTTATGAATGATAGTCACAGCTCAATAAGAGTTGAAACAAAATATGAATAATGTTGTCTTGTCTTGTAATTGATCAAATGAAGAGCGCAGAGAATGTATCAGTAATTGTTGGGGTTCAGACAGCGCTGCCAAATATGTTCATTGGGATTCACTATGGTAGTCAAGTCCCTTTTTGTCTGTTATTTATTGTTCCCACTCCAATTCCAATAATCCTCTTTCTTTATTTTGATTGTTATTTTTGTCTAATATATTTTATTTTTGTGTGTTTGATTTTCAAAAAGCTTTTGGTTCTTTTGATGCACTAAAGCTTTGATGGATGCTTTACACATCATCGTACCCTCCCCCGCTTGTACTTATTTTAACCTTTATTATATTTTCTTTTTCTTTTCTCCCCATTTTAATATATTTGATTACTAATTTGTTCTTTTCCCATAAAAATGTGGCTCATCTTGTATTCAAATTTAAAAGTAATTAGATTGTCATTCAAATCTTCGTGTACGTTGTAATTATTACTTTCTCTCTTCCATGTTATATTTCTTCTTTTGTTGTTGGTCACATATAAAAAAAAAAATCTTATGGTCAATTTACGAAAAAATCATTTTACTTGGATAATTATATCTATCCTTTCAACTACAATTTTTTCTTACACTTCCATCCTTATGGTATCAAATTCAACATAATCCACTAGATTTCGTGGAATGTGTTGTAGTTTGTACTCGTTTTGTGTAAAAATACAGTTTCTGATGCACCACAATCTGATATATACAAGTAAAAAAACATATATTATCATCATCTTGCTTCAAAATGTAGAGTTTGAATGGGATAAAACGGGTACGAAAGTAATAGTATGCCATATAATCTTAAAGATTCCACTAAATTTGAAACCGCAAGGATGGACGTGTAAGAAGATTTATAGTTGAGGGGTGGTTGTAATTACCCAAACAATAAGGGATTTTCGTAATTTGACATACCTCAAGGGGGATGACTGTAATTTTAAATAAAACCCAAAATAAATATTATTAATATGGATTATTAATTCTAATTGAAAAATAGACATGACCGGACTTGGACCAGCAACTCATTTGGTTGGGCCTAGGATTGGACTAATATATTATTCACATAATGGACTTAACCCAATGAGAATGCACTAAAAATATAGTTAATCAAAATTGAGGAGGTATGCATGTACATTAAAGTAGACATGCCCACGGGTCCGAACCCGTCTGGGTCGCGGGTCGGACCTGACCGGTTTATTCACATAATGGACCCACCCAGTATTTATTTTTTGTTTCGTATGTTTTCGTTTTGAAAACACTTGAGCTTAGCTCTAAATTTAAAATTTAAAACTAAGCTTATATATTCGATATTGAGACGAGAGAGAAATTAAAAAAAATGAAAGTTGTGACAGTGAATTGTTAGGACCAAACCGATTTTTTCTTTTATCGAAATTAAGAAGTAATTATGTTCCAATTCCACTCATATAATTTATGGTAAATTGTACTTAGAAATAACTGGTTCGACATCCAACTCATTCGATTCCATTTTACTATTTATTACGATACATTCACTTGCGTACGTATTTTCGACTAACAATCAACATACATCTAAAGTTCAAATCTTGTTCTTCCCCTAGTTTTCTTTTCTTTTCTTTTTTTCTTAAATTGTAATTTAAGATTTCAACTCTTGAAAAAGAAAGGTGACTACATACAATACCCTAAAAAATTGGACTATGTCAATTTAATTGACAAATGGAACGTAACATAAAGTCAAATCACACGGTGCAAGGGTCATATATATATATATTCAAACTCAAATTAAAGTGGGGAGATGTAATTAAACTACATGTAGCTTTCCTGGAAGTGAAAGCTCTTCAACAAACTAAAATTGACAGAAATATTAATTTGGTATGGACCTAACAATTGATGCAGCTTATTAATTGAATTGAAATTACGAAAATAATACAATTGGGACCAGTCAAATTCTATTAATTTAGCGAAATATTAATTTATCGATATAATCTTTAACACGTCGTCCTCAAATTGGGATAAAAATAATTAACTGAACGAGATTATTAATTTATCGATGTTCTAATGTAATTCTCATCAACCAAATACACGTATTAGAAACCCGCAATGTAAATAAAGATAATATAAACAAAACTAAATCAACATATAAAAATTATTTGCATTACAACAATTGTGTTCAAATTTCTCCACAATCGAAACCATCAAGACCCTTTCACAACAAATTAAATGAATAAATAATCCTGAGAAAACCAATCCCCAAAATCAATATATATATATATATATCATACATTTTAAAAGAAATAAATAAGAAAAAAATGACCCCAAAAAAAAAAAAGATATACATACATATATGATAGATGATCAGTCTGGAGGTGCAGAGTTGTGCCTTTCGGATGGGCCAGAAGGAGGAATAGGCACATCTTTAGGGAGCCTAGCGAAATAAAGATTTTCTGCAGGGACTAATTTTTCTCTTTCTTCAAAAGCCATAAACGAAGAAGAAGCATATTCCTTCACCTCCACACTCATCATCTTTCTTCCTGCCATGCAAGGATTCATCGTCTGAACAAAAATAAGAAACATTATTACCAGGCTAAGTTTCGCTGAAGAACCCATTCTCTCTCTAGATCTCTCTCTCTCTTTCTCTCTCTAGGGTTTTGGTAGATGAAATGACTTTTCTTGGAGAAGAAGAGAGGGATTTATACATACGCGGATGGCAGGCAATTAATTAAAAGAAAAATATAAAATAATAAATAAAATTAGCTAAATTCGGTGACTAATTAAAAAATGGGGTTGTTGAGAACGGAATGTAAGTCCTATTAATTGATGAAATGAGTAATCACCAAGAAATAATACAAGACTTTGTCAAAAGGGTGTGCATATTTGTTGTGTTATGAGCACTTGAATTAGCATTAAATAAAATGGGAAATTAGCTGAAAGCCTCTAAAAAATATTTTCTAGAGCTTTAGAAACAAATTAATTTTATTTTTTTGTTAAAAGTCTGTGTATCATATCTCGCTCTGGATCTGACGTTAGATCTAAAGTTCCGCTAACAAAATAGTTTATGAAAAACAACAGTAAAAGTGATGGTGATTTGGGCAGTTTAGTTAAAATAAAACTTACAGTAACGGTGACAGTGATTTGCACTACTTACATGTATTAATAAGCAACAATTAAATAAAAAATGCACAGAAGAAAAAACTTAAACATGAGTAGATGCATCCCATAACACATACACAACTTATTTACAGAATTTAGTTACACTAATGAACAAAAGTCTAGTAAAAAAAATATATTTCATGTTAATTAGACAGCTTAATACGTTTACTAATGTTG